ATATTTTACCACTAAACCAACGGCGCTTACACGGACCAACAAACACCCCACAAACCACACAACCCTGCAACACGCACCACCAACAATCGTTAACGACACTGCGCATCGCACACTCCATCCCGTCTATCAACAGCTGACCTCCGATCCCTACAGCCATCGACGCGTCCGCAGTTGTCCTCGATACCAACGACAGCTCCCAAAACCGACCTTCCACGCACGACGAGCAATTTGCATGGTTAGCTAACGAGCGGTAGCATAGCGCGTTGAACTTGATGTCTACCACGCACTGGATACGCCGGAAGATGCGTCCGACACAGTAAAAGAGATAAAAGAGGAGGGTGGCATAAGAGAATGCGCCGTCCGGGAATCGAACCCGGGGCATCTCGTTGGCAACGAGATATTTTATCACTAAAACCAACGGCGCTTACACGGACCAACAAACACCCCACAAACCACACAACCCTGCAACACGCACCACCAACAATCGCCAACGACACTGCGCATCGCACACTCCATCCTGTCTATCAACAGCTGACCTCCGATCCCTACAGCCATCGACGCGTCCGCAGTTGTCCTCGATACCAACGACAGCTCCCAAAACCGACCTTCCACGCACGGCGAGCGAATAGCATGGTTTGCTAACGAGCGGTAGCATAGCGGGTTGAACTTGATGTCTACCACGCACTGGATACGCCGAAAGATGCGTCCGACACAGTAAAAGAGATAAAAGAGGAGGGTGGCATAAGAGAATGCGCCGTCCGGGAATCGAGCCCGGGGCATCTCGTTGGCAACGAGATATTTTACCACTAAACCAACGGCGCTTACACGGACCAACAAACACCCCACAAACCACACAACCCTGCAACACGCACCACCAACATCACCAACGATACTGCGCATCGCACACTCCATCCTGTCTATCAACAGCTGACCTCCTAGCTCAACACCCATTGTCTCGTAAGCAGTTGTCTTCGATCTCAACGACAGCTTCCAAATCCGCAGTTGTCCTCGATCGCACCGACAGCTTGCAAAACCGACCTTTCAAGCACGGCGAGCGAATAGCATGGTTTGCTAACGAGCGGTAGCATAGCGGGTTGAACTTGATGTCTACCACGCACTGGATACGCCGGAAGATGCGTCCGACACAGTAAAAGAGATAAAAGAGGAGGGTGGCATAAGAGAATGCGCCGTCCGGGAATCGAACCCGGGGCATCTCGTTGGCAACGAGATATTTTACCACTAAACCAACGGCGCTTACACGGACCAACAAACACCCCACAAACCACACAACCCTGCAACACGCACCACCAACATCACCAACGACACTGCGCATCGCACACTCCATCGCTGTCTATCAACAGCTGACCTCCGATCCCTACAGCCATCGACGCGTCCGCAGTTGTCCTCGATACCAACGACAGCTCCCAAAACCGACCTTCCACGCACGACGAGCAATTTGCATGGTTAGCTAACGAGCGGTAGCATAGCGCGTTGAACTTGATGTCTACCACGCACTGGATACGCCGAAAGATGCGTCCGACACAGTAAAAGGGATAAAAGAGGAGGGTGGCATAAGAGAATGCGCCGTCCGGGAATCGAACCCGGGGCATCTCGTTGGCAACTAAATATTTTACCACTAAACCAACGGCGCTTACACGGACCAACAAACACCCCACAAACCACACAACCCTGCAACACGCACCACCAACATCACCAACGACACTGCGCATCGCACACTCCATCCTGTCTATCAACAGCTGACCTCCGATCCTTACAGCCATCGACGCGTCCGCAGTTGTCCTCGATACCAACGACAGCTCCCAAAACCGACCTTCCACGCACGACGAGCAATTTGCATGGTTAGCTAACGAGCGGTAGCATAGCGCGTTGAACTTGATGTCTACCACGCACTGGATACGCCGAAAGATGCGTCCGACACAGTAAAAGAGATAAAAGAGGAGGGTGGCATAAGAGAATGCGCCGTCCGGGAATCGAACCCGGGGCATCTCGTTGGCAACGAGATATTTTACCACTAAACCAACGGCGCTTACACGGACCAACAAACACCCCACAAACCACACAACCCTGCAACACGCACCACCAACAATCGTTAACGACACTGCGCATCGCACACTCCATCCCGTCTATCAACAGCTGACCTCCGATCCCTACAGCCATCGACGCGTCCGCAGTTGTCCTCGATACCAACGACAGCTCCCAAAACCGACCTTCCACGCACGACGAGCAATTTGCATGGTTAGCTAACGAGCGGTAGCATAGCGCGTTGAACTTGATGTCTACCACGCACTGGGATACGCCGAAAGATGCGGTCCGACACAGTAAAAGAGATAAAAAGAGGAGGGTGGCATAAGAGGAATGCCGCCGTCCGGGAAATCGGACCCGGGGGCATTCTCGTTTGGCAACGGAGATATTTTACCACTAAACCAACGGCGCTTACACGGACCAACAAACACCCCACAAACCACACAACCCTGCAACACGCACCACCAACATCACCAACGACACTGCGTATCGCACACTCCATCCTGTCTATCAACAGCTGACCTCCGATCCCTACAGCCATCGACGCGTCCGCAGTTGTCCTCGATACCAACGACAGCTCCCAAAACCGACCTTCCACGCACGACGAGCAATTTGCATGGTTAGCTAACGAGCGGTAGCATAGCGCGTTGAACTTGATGTCTACCACGCACTGGATACGCCGAAAGATGCGTCCGACACAGTAAAAGAGATAAAAGAGGAGGGTGGCATAAGAGAATGCGCCGTCCGGGAATCGAACCCGGGGCATCTCGTTGGCAACGAGATATTTTATCACTAAACCAACGGCGCTTACACGGACCAACAAACACCCCACAAACGACACAACCCTGCAACACGCACCACCAACATCACCAACGACACTGCGTATCGCACACTCCATCCTGTCTATCAACAGCTGACCTCCGATCCCTACAGCCATCGACGCGTCCGCAGTTGTCCTCGATACCAACGACAGCTTCCAAAACCGACCTTCCAAGCACGGCGAGCAATTTGCATGGTTAGCTAACGAGCGGTAGCATAGCGCGTTGAACTTGATGTCTACCACGCACTGGATACGCCGAAAGATGCGTCCGACACAGTAAAAGAGATAAAAGAGGAGGGTGGCATAAGAGAATGCGCCGTCCGGGAATCGAACCCGGGGCATCTCGTTGGCAACGAGATATTTTACCACTAAACCAACGGCGCTTACACGGACCAACAAACACCACACAAACCACACAACCCTGCAACACGCACCACCAACAATCGTTAACGACACTGCGCATCGCACACTCCATCCTGTCTATCAACAGCTGACCTCCGATCCCTACAGCCATCGACGCGTCCGCAGTTGTCCTCGATACCAACGACAGCTCCCAAAACCGACCTTCCACGCACGACGAGCAATTTGCATGGTTAGCTAACGAGCGGTAGCATAGCGCGTTGAACTTGATGTCTACCACGCACTGGATACGCCGAAAGATGCGTCCGACACAGTAAAAGAGATAAAAGAGGAGGGTGGCATAAGAGAATGCGCCGTCCGGGAATCGAACCCGGGGCATCTCGTTGGCAACGAGATATTTTACCACTAAACCAACGGCGCTTACACGGACCAACAAACACCCCACAAACCACACAACCCTGCAACACGCACCACCAACATCACCAACGACACTGCGTATCGCACACTCCATCCTGTCTATCAACAGCTGACCTCCGATCCCTACAGCCATCGACGCGTCCGCAGTTGTCCTCGATATCAACGACAGCTTCCAAAACCGACCTTCCAAGCACGGCGAGCAATTTGCATGGTTAGCTAACGAGCGGTAGCATAGCGCGTTGAACTTGATGTCTACCACGCACTGGATACGCCGAAAGATGCGTCCGACACAGTAAAAGAGATAAAAGAGGAGGGTGGCATAAGAGAATGCGCCGTCCGGGAATCGAACCCGGGGCATCTCGTTGGCAACGAGATATTTTACCACTAAACCAACGGCGCTTACACGGACCAACAAACACCCCACAAACCACACAACCCTGCAACACGCACCACCAACAATCGTTAACGACACTGCGCATCGCACACTCCATCCTGTCTATCAACAGCTGACCTCCGATCCCTACAGCCATCGACGCGTCCGCAGTTGTCCTCGATACCAACGACAGCTTCCAAAACCGACCTTCCAAGCACGGCGAGCAATTTGCATGGTTAGCTAACGAGCGGTAGCATAGCGCGTTGAACTTGATGTCTACCACGCACTGGATACGCCGAAAGATGCGTCCGACACAGTAAAAGAGATAAAAGAGGAGGGTGGCATAAGAGAATGCGCCGTCCGGGAATCGAACCCGGGGCATCTCGTTGGCAACGAGATATTTTACCACTAAACCAACGGCGCTTACACGGACCAACAAACACCCCACAAACGACACAACCCTGCAACACGCACCACCAACATCACCAACGACACTGCGTATCGCACACTCCATCCTGTCTATCAACAGCTGACCTCCGATCCCTACAGCCATCGACGCGTCCGCAGTTGTCCTCGATACCAACGACAGCTCCCAAAACGATTCCACACAAGACGAGCAATTTGCATGGTTAGCTAACGAGCGGTAGCATAGCGCGTTGAACTTGATGTCTACCACGCACTGAATAGCGAAAGAAGGGTTGGAATGAAAAAAAAGTAAAAGATTAAAAGAGGAGGGTGAATAAGAAACTGCGCTGTCCGGCAATCGAACCCGCCCCATCTAGTTGGCAACGAGATATTTTACCATTAAACCAACGGCGCTTACACGGACCAACAAACACCCCACAAACCACACAACCCTGCAACACGCACCACCAACAATCGCTAACGACACTGCGCATCGCACACTCCATCCTGTCTATCAACAGCTGACCTCCGATCCCTACAGCCATCGACGCGTCCGCAGTTGTCCTCGATACCAACGACAGCTCCCAAAACCGAACCCTGCAACACGCACCACCAACATCACCAACGACACTGCGCATCGCACACTCCATCCTTTCTATCAACAGCTGACCTCCGATCCCTACAGCCATCGACGCGTCCGCAGTTGTCCTCGATACCAACGACAGCTCCCAAAACCGACCTTCCACGCACGACGAGCAATTTGCATGGGTTAGCTAACGAGCGGGTAGCATAGCGCGTTGAATCTTGATGTCTACCACGCACTGGATACGCCGGGAGATGCGTTCCAACACAGTAAAAGAGATTAAAGAGGAGGGGTGCATAAGAGAATGCGCCGTCCGGGAATCGAACCCGGGGCATCTCGGTGGCAACGAGATATTTTACCACTAAACCAACGGCGCTTACACGGACCAACAAACACCCCACAAACCACACAACCCTGCAACACGCATCACCAACAATCGTTAACGACACTGCGCATCGCACACTCCATCCTGTCTATCAACAGCTGACCTCCGATCCCTACAGCCATCGACGCGTCCGCAGTTGTCCTCGATACCAACGACAGCTCCCAAAACCGATCTTCCACGCACGACGAGCAATTTGCATGGTTAGCTAACGAGCGGTAGCATAGCGCGTTGAACTTGATGTCTACCACGCACTGGATACGCCGAAAGATGCGTCCGACACAGTAAAAGAGATAAAAGAGGAGGGTGGCATAAGAGAATGCGCCGTCCGGGAATCGAACCCGGGGCATCTCGTTGGCAACGAGATATTTTACCACTAAACCAACGGCGCTTACACGGACCAACAAACACCCCACAAACGACACAACCCTGCAACACGCACCACCAACAATCGTTAACGACACTGCGCATCGCACACTCCATCCTGTCTATCAACAGCTGACCTCCGATCCCTACAGCCATCGACGCGTCCGCAGTTGTCCTCGATACCAACGACAGCTCCCAAAACCGACCTTCCACGCACGACGAGCAATTTGCATGGTTAGCTAACGAGCGGTAGCATAGCGCGTTGAACTTGATGTCTACCACGCACTGGATACGCCGAAAGATGCGTCCGACACAGTAAAAGAGATAAAAGAGGAGGGTGGCATAAGAGAATGCGCCGTCCGGGAATCGAACCCGGGGCATCTCGTTGGCAACGAGATATTTTACCACTAAACCAACGGCGCTTACACGGACCAACAAACACCCCACAAAAACGACACAACCCTGCAACACGCACCACCAACAATCAGTTAACGACACTGCGTATCGCGCACTCCATCCTGTCTATCAACAGCTGACCTCCGATCCACTACAGCCATCGACGCGTCCGCAGTTGTCCTCGATACCAACGACAGCTTCCAAAACCGACCTTCCAAGCACGGCGAGCAATTTGCATGGTTAGCTAACGAGCGGTAGCATAGCGCGTTGAACTTGATGTCTACCACGCACTGGATACGCCGAAAGATGCGTCCGACACAGTAAAAGAGATAAAAGAGGAGGGTGGCATAAGAGAATGCGCCGTCCGGGAATCGAACCCGGGGCATCTCGTTGGCAACGAGATATTTTACCACTAAACCAACGGCGCTTACACGGACCAACAAACACCCCACAAACCACACAACCCTGCAACACGCACCACCAACAATCACCCAACGACACTGCGTATCGCGCACTCCATCCTGTCTATCAACAGCTGACCTCCGATCCCCTACAGCCATCGACGCGTCCGCAGTTGTCCTCGATACCAACGACAGCTTCCAAAACCGACCTTCCAAGCACGGCGAGCAATTTGCATGGTTAGCTAACGAGCGGTAGCATAGCGCGTTGAACTTGATGTCTACCACGCACTGGATACGCCGAAAGATGCGTCCGACACAGTAAAAGAGATAAAAGAGGAGGGTGGCATAAGAGAATGCGCCGTCCGGGAATCGAACCCGGGGCATCTCGTTGGCAACGAGATATTTTACCACTAAACCAACGGCGCTTACACGGACCAACAAACACCCCACAAACCACACAACCCTGCAACACGCACCACCAACATCACCAACGACACTGCGTATCGCGCACTCCATCCTGTCTATCAACAGCTGACCTCCGATCCCTACAGCCATCGACGCGTCCGCAGTTGTCCTCGATACCAACGACAGCTCCCAAAACCGACCTTCCACGCACGACGAGCAATTTGCATGGTTAGCTAACGAGCGGTAGCATAGCGCGTTGAACTTGATGTCTACCACGCACTGGATACGCCGAAAGATGCGTCCGACACAGTAAAAGAGATAAAAGAGGAGGGTGGCATAAGAGAATGCGCCGTCCGGGAATCGAACCCGGGGCATCTCGTTGGCAACGAGATATTTTACCACTAAACCAACGGCGCTTACACGGACCAACAAACACCCCACAAACCACACAACCCTGCAACACGCACCACCAACAATCGTTAACGACACTGCGCATCGCACACTCCATCCTGTCTATCAACAGCTGACCTCCGATCCCTATCAGCGCATCGACGCGTCCGCAGTTGTCCTCGATACCAACGACAGCTCCCAAAACCGACCTTCCAAGCACGGCGAGCAATTTGCATGGTTAGCTAACGAGCGGTAGCATAGCGCGTTGAACTTGATGTCTACCACGCACTGGATACGCCGAAAGATGCGTCCGACACAGTAAAAGAGATAAAAGAGGAGGGTGGCATAAGAGAATGCGCCGTCCGGGAATCGAACCCGGGGCATCTCGTTGGCAACGAGATATTTTACCACTAAAACCAACGGGCGCTTACACGGACCAACAAACACCCCCACAAACCACACAACCCTGCCAACACGCACCACCAACATCAGAAAGGACACTGCGCTTCGCACACTCCATCGGTCTATCAACAGCTGACCTCCGATCCCTACAGCCATCGGACGCGTCCGCAGTTGTCCTCGGATACCAACGACAGCTCCCAAAACCGACCTTCCACGCACGACGAGCAATTTGCATGGTTAGCTAACGAGCGGGTAGCATAGCGCGTTGAACTTGATGTCTACCCACGCACTGGGATACGCCGAAAGATGCGTCCCGACACAGTAAAAGAGATAAAAGAGGAGGGGTGGCATAAGAGAATGCGCCGTCCGGGAATCGAACCACGGGGCACCTCGTTGGCAACGAGATATTTTACCACTAAACCAACGGCGCTTACACGGACCAACAAACACCCCACAAACCACACAACCCTGCAACACGCACCACCAACAATCGTTAACGACACTGCGCATCGCACACTCCATCCTTTCTATCAACAGCTGACCTTCGATCCCTACAGCCATCGACGCGTCCGACAGTTGTCCCCGATACCAACGACATTTCCCAAAACCGACCTTCCACGCACGACGAGCAATTTGCCATGGTTAGCTAACGAGCGGGTAGCATAGCGCGGTTGAACTTGATGTCTACCACGCACTGGATACGCCGAAAGATGCGTCCGACACAGTTAAAAGAGATAAAAGAGGAGGGTGGCATAAGAGAATGCCGCCGTCCGGGAATCGAACCCGGGGCATCTCGTTGGCAACGAGATATTTTACCACTAAAACCAACGGCGCTTACACGGACCAACAAACACCCCACAAACCACACAACCTGCAACACGCACCACCAACATGGTTAACGATTCCTGCGTATCGCACACTCCATCCTGTCTATCAACAGCTGAACTTCCGATCCCTTACAGCCATCGACGCGTCCGCAGTTGTCCTCGATACCAACGACAGCTTCCAAAACCGACCTTCCAAGCACGGCGAGCAATTTGCATGGTTAGCTAACGAGCGGTAGCATAGCGCGTTGAACCTTGATTGTCTACCACGCACCTGGAATACGCCCGAAAGATGCGTCCCGACACAGTAAAAAGAGATAAAACGAGGAAGGGTGCAATAAGAGAATGCGCCGTCCGGGAATCGAACCCCGGGCCATCTCGTGGCAACGAGATATTTTACCGACTAAACCAACGGGCGCTTACACGGACCAACAAACCACCCCACAAACCCACACAGCCTTGCAACACGCACCACCAACATCACCAACGACACTGCGTATCGCACACTCCATCCTGTCTATCAACAGCTGACCTCCGATCCCTACAGCCATCGACGCGTCCGCAGTTGTCCTCGATACCAACGACAGCTCCCCAAAACCGACCTTCCACGCACGACGAGCAATTTGCATGGTTAGCTAACGAGCGGTAGCATAGCGCGTTGAACTTGATGTCTACCACGCACTGGATACGCCGGAAGATGCGTCCAACACAGTAAAAGAGATAAAAGAGGAGGGTGGCATAAGAGAATGCGCCGTCCGGGAATCGAACCCGGGGCATCTCGTTGGCAACGAGATATTTTACCACTAAACCAACGGCGCTTACACGGACCAACAAACACCCCACAAACCACACAACCCTGCAACACGCACCACCAACAATCGCTAACGACACTGCGCATCGCACACTCCATCCTGTCTATCAACAGCTGACCTCCGATCCCTACAGCCATCGACGCGTCCGCAGTTGTCCTCGATACCAACGACAGCTCCCAAAACCGACCTTTCACGCACGACGAGCAATTTGCATGGTTAGCTAACGAGCGGTAGCATAGCGCGTTGAACTTGATGTCTACCACGCACTGGATACGCCGAAAGATGCGTCCGACACAGTAAAAGAGATAAAAGAGGAGGGTGGCATAAGAGAAATGCGCCGTCCGGGAATCGAACACCGGGGCATCTCGTTTGGCAACGAGATATTTTACCCATAACCCAACGGCGCTTACACGGACCAACAAACACCCCACAAACCACACAACCCTGCAACACGCACCACCAACAATCGTTAACGACACTGCGCATCGCACACTCCATCCTTTCTATCAACAGCTGACCTCCGATCCCTACAGCCATCGACGCGTCCGCAGTTGTCCTCGATACCAACGACAGCTCCCAAAACCGACCTTCCACGCACGACGAGCAATTTGCATGGTTAGCTAACGAGCGGTAGCATAGCGCGTTGAACTTGATGTCTACCACGCACTGGATACGCCGAAAGATGCGTCCGACACAGTAAAAGAGATAAAAGAGGAGGGTGGCATAAGAGAATGCGCCGTCCGGGAATCGAACCCGGGGCATCTCGTTGGCAACGAGATATTTTACCACTAAACCAACGGCGCTTACACGGACCAACAAACACCCCACAAACCACACAACCCTGCAACACGCACCACCAACATCACCAACGACACTGCGCATCGCACACTCCATCCTGTCTATCAACAGCTGACCTCCGATCCCTACAGCCATCGACGCGTCCGCAGTTGTCCTCGATACCAACCACAGCTTCCAAAACCGACCTTCCACGCACGACGAGCAATTTGCATGGTTAGCTAACGAGCCGGAGCATAACGCGGTGGACTTGATGTCTACCACGCCCTGGATACGCCCACAAGAAGCGTCCGAAACAGTAAAAGAGATAAAAGAGGAGAGGTGGCATTAGAGAAATGCGGCCGTCCGGGAAATCGAACCCGGGGCATCCTCGTTGGCAACGAGATATTTTATCCACTAAACCAAACGGCGCTTACAACGGACCAACAAACACCCCACAAACGACACAACCCTGCAACACGCACCACCCAACAATCGTTAACGACACTGCGCGATCGCACAACTCCATCCTTTCTATCAACAGCTGACCTCCGATCCCTACAGCCATCGACGCGTCCGCAGTTGTCCTCGATACCAACGACAGCTCCCAAAACCGACCTTCCACGCACGACGGCCGTTAATTTGCATGGTTAGCTAACGAGCGGTAGCATAGCGCGTTGAACTTGATGTCTACCACGCACTGGATACGCCGAAACATGCGTCCGACACAGTAAAAGAGATAAAAGAGGAGGGTGGCATAAGAGAATGCGCCGTCCGGGAATCGAACCCGGGGCATCTCGTTGGCAACGAGATATTTTACCACTAAACCAACGGCGCTTACACGGACCAACAAACACCCCACAGACCACACAACCCTGCAACACGCACCACCAACAATCGTTAACGACACTGCGCATCGCACACTCCATCCTGTCTATCAACAGCTGACCTCCGATCCTTACAGCCATCGACGCGTCCGCAGTTGTCCTCGATACCAACGACAGCTCCCAAAACCGACCTTCCACGCACGACGAGCAATTTGCATGGTTATCTAACGAGCGGTAGCATAGCGCGTTGAACTTGATGTCTACCACGCACTGGATACGCCGAAAGATGCGTCCGACACAGTAAAAGAGATAAAAGAGGAGGGTGGCATAAGAGAAGGCGCCGTCCGGGAATCGAACCCGGGGCATCTGGTTGGCAACGAGATATTTTACCACTAAACCAACGGCGCTTACACGGACCAACAAACACCCCACAAACCACACAACCCTGCAACACGCACCACCAACATCACCAACGACACTGCGCATCGCACACTCCATCCTGTCTATCAACAGCTGACCTCCGATCCCTACAGCCATCGACGCGTCCGCAGTTGTCCTCGATACCAACGACAGCTTCCAAAACCGACCTTCCAAGCACGGCGAGCAATTTGCATGGTTAGCTAACGAGCGGTAGCATAGCGCGTTGAACTTGATGTCTACCCACGCACTGGATACGCCGAAAGATGCGTCCGACACAGTAAAAAGAGATAAAAAGAGGAAGGTGGCATTAGAGAATGCGCCGGTCAGGAAACCGAACCCGGGGCGTCTCGTTTGGCAACGAGATATTTTTACCACTAAACCAACGGCGCTTACACGGGACCAACTAAACACCCCACAAACCACACAAACCCTGCAACACGCACCACCAACAATTCGTTAACGACACTGCGCATCGCACACTCCATCCTTTCTATCAACAGCTGACCTCCGATCCCTACAGCCATCGACGCGTCCGCAGTTGTCCTCGATACCAACGACAGCTTCCAAAACCGACCTTCCAAGCACGGCGAGCAATTTGCATGGTTAGCTAACGAGCGGTAGCATAGCGCGTTGAACTTGATGTCTACCACGCACTGGATACGCCGAAAGATGCGTCCGACACAGTAAAAGAGATAAAAGAGGAGGGTGGCATAAGAGAATGCGCCGTCCGGGAATCGAACCCGGGGCATCTCGTTGGCAACGAGATATTTTACCACTAAACCAACGGCGCTTGCACGGACCAACAAACACCCCACAAACCACACAACCCTGCAACACGCACCACCAACAATCGTTAACAACACTGCGCATCGGACACTCCATCCTGTCTATCAACAGCTGACCTCCGATCCCTACAGCCATCGACGCGTCCGCAGTTGTCCTCGATACCAACGACAGCTTCCAAAACCGACCTTCCACGCACGACGAGCAACTTGCATGGTTAGCTAACGAGCGGTAGCATAGCGGGTTGAACTTGATGTCTACCACGCACTGGATACGCCGAAAGATGCGTCCGACACAGTAAAAGAGATAAAAGAGGAGGGTGGCATAAGAGAATGCGCCGTCCGGGAATCGAACCCGGGGCATCTCGTTGGCAACGAGATATTTTACCACTAAACCAACGGCGCTTACACGGACCAACAAACACCCCACAAACCACACAGCCCTGCAACACGCACCATCAACATGCGCCAACGACATTGCGCATCGGACACTTCAATCCGGCCTATCAACGCTTGACTTCAAATCCTAAAAGCCATCGACCCGCCGCAGTTGCCCTCGATACCAAACGACGCTCCAAACCCGACTTCCACGACGACGAGCAATTTGCATGGTTAGCTAACGAGCGGTAGCATAGCGGCGTTGAACTTGGATGTCTACCACGCACTGGATACGCCGAAAGATGCGTCCGACACAGTAAAAGAGATAAAAGAGGAGGGTGGCATAAGAGAATGCGCCGTCCGGGAAGCGAACCCGGGGCATAACGTAGGCAACGAGATATTTTACCGCTAATCCAACCCGGCGCTTACTCGGTGCCAACAAGATACCCCACAAACCAAACCAACGGCGCTTACACGGACCAACAAACACCCCACAAACCACACAACCCTGCAACACGCACCACCAACCATCGTTAACGACACTGCGCATTGCACACTCCATCCCGTCTATCAACAGCTGACCTCCGATCCCTACAGCCATCGACGCGTCCGCAGTTGTCCTCGATACCAACGACAGCTCCCAAAACCGACCTTCCACGCACGACGAGCAATTTGCATGGTTAGCTAACGAGCGGTAGCATAGCGCGTTGAACTTGATGTCTACCACGCACTGGATACGCCGGAAGATGCGTCCAACACAGTAAAAGAGATAAAAGAGGAGGGTGGCATAAGAGAATGCGCCGTCCGGGAATCGAACCCGGGGCATCTCGTTGGCAACGAGATATTTTACCACTAAACCAACGGCGCTTACACGGACCAACAAACACCCCACAAACCACACAACCCTGCAACACGCACCACCAACAATCGCCAACGACACTGCGCATCGCACACTCCATCCTGTCTATCAACAGCTGACCTCCGATCCCTACAGCCATCGACGCGTCCGCAGTTGTCCTCGATACCAACGACAGCTCCCAAAACCGACCTTCCACGCACGACGAGAAATTTGCATGGTTAGCTAACGAGCGGTAGCATAGCGGGTTGAACTTGATGTCTACCACGCACTGGATACGCCGGAAGATGCGTCCGACACAGTAAAAGAGATAAAAGAGGAGGGTGGCATAAGAGAATGCGCCGTCCGGGAATCGAACCCGGGGCATCTCGTTGGCAACGAGATATTTTACCACTAAACCAACGGCGCTTACGCGGACCAACAAACACCCCACAAACCACACAACCCTGCAACACGCACCACCAACATCACCAACGACACTGCGTATCGCACACTCCATCCTGTCTATCAACAGCTGACCTCCGATCCCTACAGCCATCGACGCGTCCGCAGTTGTCCTCGATACCAACGACAGCTTCCAAAACCGACCTTCCACGCACGACGAGCAAATTGCATGGTTTGCTAGCGAGCGGTAGCATAGCGCGTTGAACTTGATGTCTACCACGCACTGGATACGCCGAAAGATGCGTCCGACACAGTAAAAGAGATAAAAGAGGAGGGTGGCATAAGAGAATGCGCCGTCCGGGAATCGAACCCGGGGCATCTCGTTGGCAACGAGATATTTTACCACTAAACCAACGGCGCTTACACGGACCAACAAACACCCCACAAACCACACAACCGTGCAACACGCACCACCAACATCACCAACGACAATGCGTATCGCGCACTCCATCCTGTCTATCAACAGCTGACCTCCGATCCCTACAGCCATCGACGCGTCCGCAGTTGTCCTCGATACCAACGACCGCTCCCCAAACCGACCTTCCAAGCACGGCGAGCAATTTGCATGGTTAGCTGACGAGCGGTAGCATAGCGCGTTGAACTTGATGTCTACCACGCACTGGATACGCCGAAAGATGCGTCCGACACAGTAAAAGAGATAAAAGAGGAGGGTGGCATAAGAGAATGCGCCGTCCGGGAATCGAACCCGGGGCATCTCGTTGGCAACGAGATATTTTACCACTAAACCAACGGCGCTTACACGGACCAACAAACACCCCACAAACCACACAACCCTGCAACACGCACCACCAACAATCGTTAGCGACACTGCGCATCGCACACTCCATCCTGTCTATCAACAGCTGACCTCCGATCCCTACAGCCATCGACGCGTCCGCAGTTGTCCTCGATACCAACGACAGCTCCCAAAACCGACCTTCCACGCACGACGAGCAATTTGCATGGTTAGCTAACGAGCGGTAGCATAGCGCGTTGAACTTGATGTCTACCACGCACTGGATACGCCGAAAGATGCGTCCGACACAGTAAAAGAGATAAAAAGAGGAGGGTGGGCATAAAGAGAATGCGCCGTCCGGGAATCGAACCCGGGGCATCTCGTTGGCAACGAGATATTTTACCACTAAACCAACGGCGCTTACACGGACCAACAAACACCCCACAAACCACACAACCCTGCAAACAGGCCCGACCACCATCGTTAACGGACCTGCGGCTTCGCAGACTCAGCCTGTGTATGCACAGGGTGAACTCCAAATCCCAACGGCCTTCGAGTGCCTCCCGAGTTGTCCCGCGATTACCAGCAGAGTGTCCAAAAACAAACTTTCCGTGCCATGCAGAGCAATTTTCATGATACTGTAACAAATCGTCTCCTATACGCGGTCGACCTGGATTCCTACCCACGCCCCGTAATACCCCAAAAATAAGCGT